CCCCTCACCAGAAGAGGAGAAAGGCAGTGATAGTAAAATATGTTTCCCTATGCCAGAGTGAAACCCAAATCCTGACAATGACCTTGTGATATGCCAACTCCCTTCTACCCAGTCCTTCCGGTCCCCTTGGCTATTTCTACCTTCCCCCTGCCTGTTTGTGCTTCAGTTGCACTAGCTTCCTCGGTGGTCCTTAAACATGCCAGTCTCTTTTTGCCTCGGGCTTTTTACTTTGCTGCATGAATGAGTTGAATATACCATATAAGCTTGCTAGGGCTGCTGTAACTAAGTACTACAGATTGGGTGGCTTAAAAGAAATTTATTTTCTCTTGGTTTTGGAGGCCAGAAGTCCAAGAACGAAGTGTCCACAGGTTTGGTTCCTCCTGAGGGCTGTGAGGGAAGGATATGTTCCAGGTCTCTTTGGCCTGTAGATGGCTATCCGCTCATCATTTTCCCGCTGTGCCAGTCTGTGCTGAATTTCCTCTTCTTCTAAGGACACCAATCATATTGGACTAGGGTCCACCCTAACGACCTCTTTGAACTTAATCATCTCTGTATCTATCTCCATTACAGTTATATGCTGACGTATTGGGAATTAGGACTTCAACAGAAATTTGTGTGTGTGTGTGTGGGTGGGGGAAACACAATTCAGCCCATAACATACACACATACTCAAGTTTCCGGCTAAGAAAATAGAAAATTCGTGCTGATGTTAGTAAAGGAAAGGAGACTGGGAGGGAGTTTATGAAGGAAGAGAGGAAGGGAGGAAGGAAATGGGCCATATATGGCCAGGGTGAAATGTCCAAATGCCCTATTTGTTGACTGACAACTGATATTGCAGGTTCTGAGGAAGACAGTGCAACACGACAAACGTGGAATTATAGAATTTCTGAGAAACATTTCCCTGAACATGATGGGGATATGATCTATCATGGTCTCTAGTTTTCAGTGACAGGGGGAGAGAAAGAGAGAGAGAGAGACAGAAAGTGGGGATACCACTGTGGTGTACGCAATTAGAATCCAATGGCCCATTTTTTTACCACAAGCCTCTAAATTTTTTATTTTTCTTCTCTTTCAGTATGCCTGGGATATAAATGAAGAATATCTCTTCAGAGCGATGGTGGCTTTCTCCATGAGAAAGCTTCCCAAAAGAGAAGCAACAGAGTAAGTAAACCGTGAGAAATCTTCACTGATAATTTACAGTATTATTTGAGGTAGTGCATTATTTTAAACCTCGATCTTGAAGATAATTTATTAATGTAATCTTTTGAAGGATCCCACAATTTTTATTGAACTTTTAAAAACTTTTGTAATCTAGCTCGTCTTAGAGTTTATATCATGTTGCAACAATGCTCTTTGTTCAATAGGTAATGTGAAGATACATATGCCCCCAAATTGCAGTGATGTGTTCTAAGCTTTCTATATTTCTATTGTGTATCTCATTTTTCTTGCAGATAGGTGGATGGATATTAAAGAACTCTACTCTCACTTTGAAAATAACCTAAATATGTATAGGTTCTTCCCACTCTTAGCACTTTGTTTATTTTCTTAAAAGCACTTACTATAACTTTTAGTAGTTTTATATTTTTGTCTATCCTTCTGGAGGAATCTTCTCTATTTATGATGTTTCCTTCCTTCTCTGTTTGTGATGAGGATAACACTCCTGCTCTCTCTCTACTCCCTCCCTCATTCCTCCCCTTGAGAGGTGAAAACTTGAGCATGGTTTCCTGACTCTTTGGGAGCTAGCCTGCCCCAAATGATGGCAGGCATTCTCCTGTGCTACTCCCTAGCTAAGTACAAAACCAGGCCCTGCATGGACAGGCATGTACACCCTAAGGCTGTCCTTTCTGTTTACAGCTGAGGACTGTTTAGATTAGTAGGTGCCATATCATATGGGATATTAAATATCTTGCATATTACTCTGGTACATGACAATACCTGCCCGGTTCTGCTCTAGATGAGACAGTGTAGGTGAATTTATTTCATTTCAGGATGTTTTTTAAATTAGGAAGAAAATTTACCTGCTAATTAAAGTCATATCCTCCAACCTAGCCTCTTAGTTTGGTCTCCTATCTGCTTCATCTTTTGGTCTTAATTTTATAAAGATTTAGGGCCTGGTGAAGAGGATTATGATTAATTGGTCTCCCTCATATCCACAATATCTGATTCATGGGCTATGACTATAAGAAATAAAACAGAAGAGCGGAATCTGAGGGAACAAAATAAACACATGATACATGTATTTGTGTGTATACACACGTATATTTTGGATATATATTTTTAAATAATAT